CCAAGAAACCTTGAATGAACAATACACTTTTGGTTTTTCTAAAATGAGAATATCCCCTCTGTACTCGGAACATTATTATCCATGCATACGTACAACATTAACCTTCGAGAGTACATAGGTTGAACGAGACAGGTTTTCAGCCGGTTTGACTTACCACAACAGAATCTTTCATTTTAAACTTCTGTCATGGAAACTGTCGGCCAATCACACCTCGCCTATGATACATGCTGTCAAATTTCGAAAAATCAATTGCATTTTTTATAACGCACGTGACTCATGTTAGTCGTGGGTATTTGTAAAACAAATTAAGGGCAGTCTCAGACAGAGCCCAATCGTGAGAAGGTTTGAAGTTTGTGTGGGCACGAACTAAAAATTTATCCAAGTTGATATTAGAACAAGACAGGCACGTGCAGTTATAATCCGTGTTAGCGTTTGTTTTTGACATCGAATGTTTTACTGAAACTATCTAAACGAGATTCACACGATCGCGTTCGTCTTTTGTGTGATACCAAGCAAACCCTCTCACACTTTTGAATTTTGCGTTCCGAGAACTAACCCGTTTTGCCCGTGTTTTTTTTCGGTGTTACATGGAAACATTCTAAATGCGGAAGCGGAGAGCGGGTTGCGCAGAATGGGTAAAGGACGAGCATTCCATAACAAGAGATCAATCTAACACTCTTGGGAACACTCGCGTGTGTAAACAAGTTAAATGCATACGCATCAATTATACACTGTATATACTGTATATATTTACAGTAATATAGTGTATATACCGTGTCCTTAGGTTATTATCTCGGATTTACTATGTGATCTCTGGTTTCCTGTTGCATGCTAATGTGAGATCCAAATGTTACAATAAATAAATCACCACATCCACATTTGTCACCCTTGTTAAATTTCTTTTACACTGGCGTTACGCGAACGGTGGTTAGTATCTCTGATGATTTTATCATCATGACACACGACAATGCCACTCAACCGGTAGATATTTATTGTTTGAATGAATTTAATGACAAAAGACAAAACAAAGATTAAGATTGATGTTTAATGGCCAAAGATGTAGTCATCATATTACTTCAACAATCAAGATACAATACAATACAGTACAGTATATTATAAAATTTTCATTTTATATATATATATAAAAGAGAGAGAGAAAAGGCTTATTCAACCATTACTTGATTTTATTTACTATATTACTTACTGTACGTATGATTATTTATAATTCCTTTAGTGATGATCGGGACAGGCATGGAATGTTAGTTAACTTTGACAATAGCTTCGGTTGCATATTTTATTGTTCATACCTACAGTATTATTAATATGTTTATGTTAGCGCGTGTGCATTTAGATTCACTAAACCAAAAAATTTCCTTTCATAACCGTTTTTTTTTGAAGGCAGCAGGTTTGATCAACAATCATTAATGTGAAGTAATGTGCAGTAGTAATGTTTTACCCGGTTATGCCAAATATCGAAAATTAAAAAAATGGGGCACAGACGTGAGTGGTTTTTTAATCGGGAGATGTTGTTTCATGAAGACGCATAAACCCTTTCCAAAGAAGATATTATTTTGGAGTTTTCCCGTTCCCGAAACCAGTTGAAAAATAACGTGTAAATCAAAATTCAATGTTACAATTAATTTCAGAATCGTGAAAACAAAATTTTGCATGAATCGATTTTATTTTATTTATTTATTTTCTTTTCTTTTATTTATTTTTTAAATAATTCTGTCGTCGTTGTCCGAAATGTGAATGCATGTCCGATTTTTCCGCCTGAGAACCAACTTTTTACACGCACGCGTGTCGTTACATCACATGGCACCTCGCACAAGCAAAAGTCACGGGTTCGAGAGACTCGCGATAATGTAACTCCGTATTACATATTACATATTTATCCGGAAAAAAATATCAAATTCACCATATTAGGTTGAATGAAAAAAAAGCAGGGCGGCGGTATTTGTGTACCTGCATGTAAACTCACGATACACCGATTAATGCTGTAAAAATACATACGAACAATAGCATGATTTGAATAAAGTTCTTTGATAATCGATCAAAGATTAAAATGTTCTCAACCAATTTTTATTGGTTACAAGGACGTTACGTATAAGCTTTTGTCTCACGAAATTTATTTCCCCGCACTCTGAAGATCGACGTGCCAAAACCCTCAAAGGTCACACAGGTTCGCGTGTCATGTAGAATAATCAGATATGGGATTCGGTGGCGTTACTTTTTCTTCGATGACAAAGAAAATCCACAAATGCACGCTGTACGGTGAAATGACGATGTGATCGACGATTTGTTTTTTATGAATTAAAAATTATCATCGGATTAACATTTTAAAAAATTGGTATTATGGCTGCCACGATCATTATGACATTATATCGCACCGTACATTGATTGATTGATTTTTTCTCGACCAAATATTCCCAGAGTTCTTGGAATTACTTCTTCATAGCGCAACGAGACGACAAATGAATTTTTCAATTTCAATTTCTTCTTCTTGACAGGTGTCTCACTCGCGATGAAATATCGATGCGTGTGTGATGTGATGTGCCTCATGTCTTTTTGGTGCACATCGTGTGCATATGGTGTGACGCCATTTCTAGTTTGTCTGGTTGATTCGGGAGGAGGGTCTATGCAAATTTTCAATTGTGAAGGGAACGCCTAGCCGAGATGAGATGATAAGAGTTTCCAAATATGTTTTTTTCTTTTTTTCGTTTTAATAAATAAATTAAAAATTCATGGTTACCTCTTCCGTAATTTTTATGCGATCTGCCGTTTTGTGAAACAGTCCCATTCTCGCAACAACCCGAGTACGCACCGACATTCATTTTTCGTCCAAACATAATGTTGTCACATAATATCATTCTTTCTCGTACGTTAATATTCTTTTCCTCGCACGTTGATTAATTTACTGGAGATCAAACACCCTCCCCCCCCCCCTTTCCAAACAGATGTTTTGAACACTCGCGTGCGATTCATATTTGGAAAGTGACTATTGGACCCTAGAGGTCGTTTCGGCTGTGCTCGTAAAATCAACTTCCGTTTTGACCATATTTCGTTAGGTGAAGGTGACGTGATGGATCGAAAATCCCGAGTTTATTCTTTATTTGTATATCGGTCTGTGTTGATTATGTAAAAAGAGAAACCTTTTTCCATCACCCTCGTAATGCTTGCATGATACTGTGTTCCCCCCAGAATCTTCCATCTACTTACTTACTTACTTGTTTGTTCTGTCGAACTTACAAACCTCATCAGCCGACCCTCGAATTTCAAATTCTCCATAATAGGAAATACTCAATTTGGAAACGGGCAAATCACATCTCACAAATGCACAAATGAGGATAGATGATATTGTTGAGAAGGGTGATACAAGTTTGTCACTTTCAAAAAAGAATGGGTTAAGTACGCTTCGGAAATCGACACGCCTATCGTTTTATTTTAGAAATCCCTAAACTGTTTCTTCCCCATCAAGGAAATTGACACACTTCGTATAGCCATGGATTAAATTTTTGACCGACATATTCTCGAAATTCGGTCATTCTCTTTCAGCCACCAATCGCGTTGACCCGACCGATTCCTCTCCAGGTTTCAAGGGTGAATCCTGATTCCAAAAAATGGTTAGTCCCGGCGACCGTATGTTACCACGACAATTTCACACACTAACCGGTGTTGCATGTTGAAATGATTAAAGGATTTCCTTCTTATGCGAATGTTTGCAATTTTTGAAAAATTAAAAATACATGCATCAAATCTTATTATGTTACCATAACTGTGCGCACCTTGTATAACATATTCATGTGAGACATATTTCAAATATTTGGCCCATTTTTCGAGAATGGTCGTGACGTTCGAATTGCCTTTCATTCGTTCGTTGACCTTTTGTTTGTGGAGTGATGTCGCGTGAATACCTTTAAGGTGCATTAGATGGTTCATCCCCAAAATTCCTCTGCCGTCGTCGACCAAAAATTTTCTCGGTCGTGTTGACCAAACGTTCCCGAGCCAGCCGCCCGCCTAATCGTCGCCATTGGCTCTCGAGCGGTGAAATCTTGGATAGCCCCTGAATTTCTATAAATCTAAATCTTTTTGTTGATACGATCTTTCTCTCTTGTCATTTTTCCGGTGGAGAATTGGAATCAGTGACGTAAAGTTTAATGTCTCTTTTACCGGTGACCTATCGGTGGTCAACTTTGCAAAACATTGCTACGAGAAACGTAGCACACGAATTAATATGCCACCTTACACAATTCAACAAGTCAACCTTGCGGTGATTGTTGATCCGCCTGTGTTGTCGAAATGCCCAAAGTTGGGTTAAAATGAGTGGGTGTGATGTAAAGAAAATCCGAGATTTTTGATGTTGCGAATAAAAAAAAAAAAAATTTTTTTTTTTTTTTTTATGTGTGTGATACGGGGACACTGATTTCGGTTCTATATTATTCTTCAAAAACTTATTTCCGCCAAGGTTGGTGCAATTAAAAGAATTAGAAATTCAAGAAATTTGGTAATCATTACCTTTTGAAAAAAACGTACACGAGTTATTCTAAGCTTGATGACTGGACAGAATACAGATTTATTTATTTACGTTCATTACGTATCCACATTAAAAAAAAAAACTATATAGATAATTTTTTTTTATGGAATACTCTATTCGTGTGATTCTGGATTTTTAATATTGGTGGTTTGGATGGATGTGAAAATTTTCTGTATATAAGCAACAGGTTCTGGCACGTTCACCTTTTTTTTTTTCAACCTTTTATCTTAACGAAACAAAAGAGGTTCAAAACCAAAATTCCAAAAAAAAAACCAGACCTTCTGGGATCGATAAAAATATCGATTCTGCTGTCACTGAAATCCTGATATATCTATAATTGACTCAACTCACTATTCAGCGAGAGTTAAACCATCCTCATCATCATTCATCATCCACTTTATCGTGAGGCGTAACCATGACTAACGAAATTACAAGAAAGGAGAATACTGCCATTGAGGAGCAAATTGAGATTCCGGATTACGGTGAGAAACGAAGACAAGCTCTCGCAGAGATCGACAATGCCAAGTTCGGCTGGTTCCACATTCGAACCTGTGTCGTAGCCGGAGTGGGGTTCTTCACCGATGCCTATGACTTGTTTGCGATTAACATCGTATCCACCATGTTGGGCTTTGTCTACTTCAACGCCGAAAAACTGAAATTAACCAATCCTCCGGCGAACATCGATTTGGGTATAAAAGTGAGTGCTCCGATTGGAACGCTCATCGGTCAATTCGCCTTCGGTGTGATCGCCGATCTTTTGGGTCGTAAGAGGGTGAGTTTTTCTTTTTTCGCTCGCGATCATTTCTTTTCTCAATTTTCATGAGCTCAATTCAATTCTCAATTTCTTCCAGGTTTATGGTATCGAATTGATGATCATCATTGTTACTACGATCGGGGCATCATTGAGCGCTTCAGGTCCGGCGGTCACCATTCAAGGTGTTATTATCTTCTGGAGAGTTATCATGGGTATTGGTGTTGGTGGAGATTACCCCTTGTCTGCAAGTAATTATCATCACATTATTGTCATTATTGTTGTCCCATTATTATTATTATTATTGTTGTTGTTCATTGCTTATTGACATACCATGTCTCCTCTTACACTTCAAGTTATTACGAGTGAATTCGCAACCACCACTAGAAGAGGTGCTATGATGGCCGCTGTATTTGCCATGCAAGGCTTTGGCATCTTGAGTGCCGCTCTGGTTTCGGTAATTGTTTTGGCTGCGCTCAAGGAACCCATCGAAAAAGACACTCAAAACATTGATTACGCATGGAGAATTGTCACAGGTGTGGGTGCGATTCCCGGATTCGTTGCTCTCTACTTCCGTATGACGATTCCGGAAACTCCTCGTTTCACCATGGATATTGAACGCAACGTCGATCAAGCTGTTCAAGATATCAACAGTGTGTTGCAAACTGGTTCCTACAAAGATCGTGACGCAGAAGCCAT